GGAGAATTCAAATAAGACAGGAAGAAGCCATGGGATTGACAGTGAAGAAATTCATGGATGATCCTGAGGAGATCAGAATGTAGAGTGAATTTAAAAATTAAGAGATGGGGGTAAAGATATGGAAGCAATAACTATGGAAAACCCTTTCCAGAATCTTGGCTCAAAATGGACGAGTTTAGAGGAATGATCCAGAGAAAGAGGGGCTGTGAAGATGCCAGATAAAGCAAAGCAGGGTAGATGGGGGAAGTAAGCACAGATAGAGAGATTAGTCTGGAACAGAAAGGAACTCTCATATAAAAGACAAGAATAAGCTTGAAGGTGGAGGGATCAGAAGTTGTTTAGAGGGATTTAGCCTGGTGCTATTCTATGGTTTCAGTGAAACTGGAGAAGTCTTATCTACTAGGAGTTCTGAATAGGATATATTAGTGTTAGGTGCTTGAGTAAGAGGAGTAAGTTTGAAATAGCCATCTTGGGCAGGTGAAAAGAAAGATGATTAAGGATGAAAGAAAAGACTGTTGAACTAAACTATGACTCAACTGAACTTTGAAAAATCCCCGGGCTAGGAGGAGCTCTTTTAAATGTCCTACATTTCTAATTCAGAAGATCCAAGACTGTATATGCCATTGCCTCAGACATCTATGGCCATGATTATCTATACATATCACAAAAGCTGACGAAAGGGCACCAGGAGCTGATCTTGGTATCCAGGTACATACATCCCTATAGATGCTGGATTCCATAGGGACGGCCCCATATGCTTCAGTATCTCCTGGAGCCTCCAGTCTCTGCTTCTGCTCTCTGTTACTAGTCTCCAGAGGGGCTTTAAAGTCCCCAGTGTGTCTATATCTCACATGAGAGGTCACTCTGCGTGCACTGAAATCTAGAATTAGAGGCTGACCTGGCTTTTCTCAGACACAGCCAAGGTGTGTCAGCATTCCCCTAAGTGACCTTAGGTAACCTCTGAGAGAGCTGAGGATGGCATCAGGGAGCCCTGAATCTCTCACTGGGCCCCAGAATAGCATCTCTGGCCCCAGAGATAAGTTCAGGCTGATTCCATCAGTGAAGTGTAATCAGAGAGACCCTTTACCTGGGAGTACTTGGTTTGGGTGACTCCTGCCCATCTTAAGAGTAGGGAATGAGAAATCCCCCAAGAGATGAGCTGACTGAACCTCACTTCTACCACTCAGGTATGGGGGCCAGAGTGGCTCCCCCATAGACAGCACAGCTGAGAGCCTTAAATCTACTCATCCCCACATCCCACCTCAGGTCCTTGGGGGCTGGTGCTGAGGAAAAGTCCAAAAGACCCTGGCAATTCCATTACTCTATATTAGGGTTTTAGGAAAGTTCTCTCTTATAAAGTAAAATTTGAGCAGAAACTAGGAGGAAGTGAGGGAAGGATCCATGCAGATATCTGGGGAAGAGTTGTCCAGGCTGAAGGAACAAGTACAAAGATTGAGTATAGAGAATGCTTTGAGTGTCGGAACAAACAGCAAAGAGGCCAATGTGGTTGGATATGGTGGCCAAGGGGCAGTGGTAGATGAGATTAGAGATATAAAGGTAGGGTGGTGGAGGTGGGATGGAGTTGGGTGGAGTGTAGGCTATTGTTAAGGACTTTGGCTTTTACTCTGAATTAGAAGCCAGCCATTAGAATGGTTTGGACAGACTTGAGCTGATTTGCATTTTCAAAGGATCACTCTGACTGCTGTGCTGAGAATTGACTGGAATGGAGTAAGGTCAAGAGCAAGACCAATTGTAGGCTATGGCAGTAATCTAGCTGAAAAGTGATGGTGGCTTGCAACAGAGTAGTTGCAGTGAATGTGCTGAGAAGTTGGGGGATTCATAGTATATTTTGAAGACAAAGCTGATCAGTTGTGCTGAGGGATTGAATGTGAGATGTGAGAAAAAGAAGAGGCAAGGATGATTCCAGTGCTTTTGGCTTCATAGGGTTTTTGTGAAGATGAGATAAATTAATCCATATAAAACATTCAGAACACTACCTAGTAAGTGCTTGGTGAAGGTTAGTCACTATTACAATATTATTAGACAAGTTATGGTGGAAGACAGTAGTTTCATACATGCTGCCTAAGGTCACTTTCCAAATAATGAAACAACAGCTTGTGGGCTCTGAAGTTTCCCTGGTACCTTTATCTCAGGCTTCCTCCTACCCTCCAGGAAAAGAAGCATTATGGAGTACAAACCTCTTAATCTGTAAAATGGGGATAGTAATCCCTATCTTGTAGGACTGTTGTAAGCTACAACGGAGCACATTTGCATGATTGATAAATGCTAGGTAAATGTTCCATCCTATCTTTTCTTCAAAGAAGAATTTTGATTATGCTGTCCCCTAGCTAATGTACCAGCAAATGTCCTTTCAGCTCAGTTCACTCAGGTAAGCATTACCAATGGCCTAACATGGCTCCCTGTTCGTATACTCAGTTTGCTAAGTAGGATCAAACGAGGTAGAGCAGTGTAGCTGAGAGCACAAAAGTTGGGTAAGCCCTTGAGACTGAGGTTGTAGAAAGGCCCCTAATCCTGGCCTTGAATGATGTTCCTATCTTAGCTGGAAGGGACTTGTGTTTAAAAAATAAAAGCCTGGTTGTGCCAGGTGGGGGAGTGTCCCCAGGCCAAAGGGTCCTTCTTGCTCCCAACTAACATTTCTTCATCTGTGAAACATTTCAACATGTGGGGCTCCTTGGCAACTGCAGTTCAATATATTCAAAGTCTTCCTGGCCTCTTCCATTTTGTCTTTTGCATCCTGGTCCTTTCATTAATTTGTTTTGTTCCTTCTGCTGTGTATCAGGCTCGTTCACAGCCCTGCCATTTCCTAGCTGCTTGACATTGGGCAAGTCAGTCTATGCTTCAGTTTTCTCATCTCCTCACTGTGAATAGTACTAGAGTAGTTACAAGTATTAAACGAGTTAATATATGCAAAATACTGAGAAGAGTGCCTGGCAAATAACAAATGCTCTCTAAGAATTACTGTTAGCTCATGATGCTTACCAATTAGTGGAGGGAAAGGACAGTCATTAAACAAGTAAGCAAATTAATTAAATGATTACAGGTTTAATTTAGTGTCAGTAAGGAAATAAACAGGGTGTGGGGGACAGGGGCTAGACTGGCCAAGTGAGGCTTATATCAAGAAGTGACACTCTGCGGTGAAGACTCAGATCCTCCCTTGACATCACAGATTTTAACTTTAGCTTCACAATTTCTCCTGCTTCCATCCCCTTTTTTCATCATCATAGATCAGCCCCTCAGTAATCTCCTAATCGGTATCTACCACCAGCCCTTACTCCACCAATTCATTTCCTATCCTGCAGTCACACCCATTCTTTTTAAACTCTAGGACCTAGAATATCCTTTGAACACCTACTGTATTCTCTTTGCTTTATGAACATTAGCTCACTTTAAATTCACAACTTCATAAAGAAAGTATTATGAGCCTCTATCTGCAGATGGGACAACTAAAGCTCAGAGAGGATAAGTCCTCTGCTAAAGAGCCAACAGCTCGTAGATATTAGAACCAGAGTTGGAATAGAGATGTGTGGATTCTAGAGTCTGTATTCCTTCCAGATGCCTTCCTAAACTTGTATTTTTTTCTATTGTGTAATGACTGTAGACCCAAGGAAATAATGATAGCATATACTTATATAACATTTGCCATGTGCCAGGGGCTATTACATGTATTAATTCATTCAATCTTCAAAACAACCCTATGAAAAAGTGATTACTATTGTTCCCATTTTACAGATGAGGATACCGAACCACAGAGCAGTTAAGTAATTTCCCCAAAGCCACACAGCTAGGAGGGGCAAACCTAGGATTCTAACTCAGTTTACCCTCCTTCTAGGTCTGAGCCCACAGTACCAGTCAAAAGGCCACATTCTGGTCCCAGCTCTAACCAGGGGCCATGTTTGGAGTTCACTTAGGACCTATTCAAAGTCACCTCAGAGCCTATTCAGCCCTTTTTTTTTTTCACCAAAGGCATTGCAGCCTATGTACGGAGACCTTACCCTAAGCTCCCAGCATACAGCCTTTCTGCTCACACCAGGTAAGGCCCCTCAGAGTCTGATCATGGCACATTGCTTGGACCCTGCCCCATGCCTTGGCTTAAGCTTCCTTTCCCTCTACCCATAATGCAACTTGGTACGCCACAATTTTTTAGGCCCCTTCACTCTATTGAAGAGCATTTCCCTTCGCTGGCCATATTTTCTCTCTTATTTTTACCTTTTCTCTGTTCCCTTACTACCCATCTAGCCTGTACCTCATAGTTCAGCCCCTCATTCAGTATTGTGTGCTGTTCTCTGACTATGTCCAGTCTGTCTTATCTTCCCTATTCCTCTGCAAGTTCTTCAGGGTCAGGTACTAGTAACATTCCAATACTTCTCCACTGCTGACTCTGTGATTATAAACTTCTAAACTCCCAGAGTGTCATTGCTGGAAAAAATCTCTTAGTCTATCTAGTACAACCCCTTCTTTGTATAGAGACTCTGGGGCCCAAAGAAGGTGATTCCACAATCGAATTCTCCTTAATTTTGAGTGGTCTTTCCCTTGTTTTATGTCTTCTCTCCTCCTGTCCAAATCCTAACTTTCTGAACAAAGGAGAGAGAGAAAAAAAAAAAAGAGGGCCAAAGCTGGGAAGTGGCTTTTCCATGTGTCTGAAAATTGTTACTTTTCCAACACTAATTTTCTGAAAAATTCCAGGCCTGCTAACATTCATGTATAGAACTTTGAAAAGCTAGCGGCATCCTACCATGCAACAGTTACAAGAAAAGAAGTCTGCACGGTGCCTCTGACCACTTGACCCTCTCTCTGTTCCCACAGACCAGGCAAAACCTAACTCCCTGTCTGCCCACAGTCCCTAGAGCTTTTTGATTCCTTCCATAGGAGTGGCTTGGTCTCTGTTTACCTCCCCTTTCCCGCCTCTCAACAGCACTGTGTCTGTCTCAGGGGTGGGACTTCTTTGCATAGCCACGCCTAGACACTCGAGTAGCCTAGTAGCTGCTTTGGGAGCCTCAGGGGGGGCGGAGAAATAGACGTAGCATAAAAGAAAAAGAGAATGGGTTTAGGCTGTTACCGCTACACAGGGATGTGAAATTAGCCTGAGTGATTGCAACGGATTTCATCTACTGTGAGTGTGGTATGTAGGCTGGGGGCTGAGGGGTGGGGGCTTGCTTGGTGCTATGTCTGGCCTGCGCTGAGGTGTGTTTGTCTAGGAATTCTGTTGCTGAAACAAGATCCATCCATCCATATATTTACAGGGTAAGTGCGGGAACACTCCCCGGCATGACAAGGCTGCTCAGATCTGTGGGACATAGGGGTGGAAGTTCAGGATCAGGTTAGGATGACCCTACTGAGGAGCTACAAAATCAGAATGTCTGTGAAGGCATTCCGGTGGTCTGTCTGTCCATCCATTGGTATCCCGAGAATGCTGTCTAAGGTGCCAGGGACCTGAGTTAATAGCCCAATGGCTTTGGAGGGCCAGTGTGTCCCTGTGTAGGCTTTTACTGGACCTGTATGGCCTTTGGGAACATGCCTGGACATGTCCAAACACCCTGAGCACATGGGGTTTAGAGTTAAGGAAAAGAAGGAGGCTGGGAGCTTAGGGGAGGGAGGGGTTGGATCAGACATGTGAAGCATCCCCAGGGAAATTGAGCTGCCAGCCCACCCACGTGGCCCCTGGGCAAGTCAGGGCTTGTGTAAAGAACACTCGGGCTCTATTTGGGGGCTTTCAGTCTGCCCCTTCACCCACTAGGTTTTTACTTGATCCCTCACTCCTGGAAGCTGAGCCCAGAGCAGTGATATTTTGATCCTGCTTTACCCCAAACACTGGCCAAGGTTAAGGCAGCTGTGAGACCTGGGGGACAAAAAGAGACCTGCCAGCAACCTGGGAAAGCAGAGACTGCAAAGTTTGGACTGATGTTAGCAGTGTTGGCCAGTGCCCTGTCATGTAGGGTAACTAAGGCAAGAGAGTGTAGAGCGTCTTCCCCTGTATCACTCTCCTATCCCCTCCTTTACCCCAATATACCTTCAGTCCAACGTAACAGGCTCACTGAGCAACTATGCTTTGTCACCACTATGTGAGATAGATACTTAAAATGCACTGGGACCTGACAGTTTCATCATGGGTATAAGAACAAATATATATAGCAAAGATAGGCTTTAAAGGTTTAGTCAAAATCCTTTGAGGTTGTCAAATAAGGACCACTTCAAGTTGAACCAGGGATAATCAGAAAGACATTTTTGACATTGTCACAACTTTTAAGGCTCCAGAGACAGACTACTTGAGTTCAAATCCCATCCCCACCATTTATTAACTTGTGTGACATTGGGCAAGTAGAACTACTTCCCCCTTTCAGAACTCTGGTTTACTGCAGGCTAAAATGGAGACAATAATAGTGCTACTTCATCGTTTTTGTGAGGATTAAATTAGATAATCCGTGTAAAATATTTGTACACACTTAGCACAGTGACTGCACCAAAATAAGCGCTCAATAAATGTTAACTATTATTATTATTTAAGATGGACAATGAAGCACAGATAGGATTTCAACAGGTGGAGATAGAAGAGAAGGCAATGGAAGCAGGAAAAACAACAGGAACAACTGTTTGGAGGCAGGAAAGATCAAGACATGTGAAAAGAACACAGGCTGAACTGGATTTTAGAGTACAATTAGGGAAAAGTGGAAGTTAAGTTTGCTGTGGTACATTGGTGACAAATTGGAAAACTTTTGGATGCTAGACTTTCTGTTTAATTGGACAAGAACTGGAAAGCCATTGAAAATTTCTGAGCTAAAGAAAAAAAGTCAAATTTATGTTTCCGGAAGAATAATCTGGTAAATATGAGTCAGCTGGATTGCAGTAGGAAAGCACGAGAGGTGGATAAACCGGATGCAGAGAGGGAATGAGACCCTGGAGCTGAAATGGTGGCTTTGGGAATAGAAAGGAGGTAATACATTTTATAAGACATCACAAAGTTGAATCTACAGAATTATAAGTTGATAAACTATATGAGATTTAAAAAGGGGGAATGAAAAAGAATCAGAATCTCTTGGGACTGGCTTAAGCTTTAAAAAGGTTGTACATTCCAATCCCAGTTCCATCTACTTCTCTGGATGGTACAATAGAAAGTATTTCCACTTTCTTTTTTTTTTTTTTTTTTTTCAAGATCTTATTTATTTGGCAGAGAGAGACACACAGCGAGAGAGGGAACACAAGCATGGGGAGTGGGAGAGGGAGAAGCAGGCTTCCCGCCCAGCAGGGTGCCCGATGTGGGGCTTGATCCCAGGATCCTGGGACCATGACCTGAGCTGAAGGCAGATGCTTAACTACTGAGCCACACAGGCGCCCCATATATGCATTTTCTGAGTTAGACAGCTGTGTTCAAGTCCTGAGTCTGCTACTTATCTGCTGTCTGTGATCCTAAACATATTATTTATCCATCATTCCTAGTCAGGATTGTATTTCTATATAGCATTTAGAAATATGTGTGGGAAGCATGATTTGTTTTTAATTTTTAATTTTTAAAGATTTTATTTATTTATTTGACAGAGAGAGAGAACGCACAAGCAGGGGGAGCAGCAGGCAGAGGAGAGGGAGAAGGGGGCTCCCTGCCAAGCGGGGAGCTCAACGCAGGGTTCAGTCCCAGGGTCCCAGGATCATGACCTGAGCCGAAGGCAGACACTTAACTGACTGAGCCACCCAGGCACACATATATATAAATGACTGAGGCACTATGGCATTTAGTGCCAACAACGAAGAGTTGTTCTTCCCACCCACTTATAATACCAGCTGTAAGTCCAGTGAGAAATATTTTTTAAAGATTTTATTTTATTTTATTTTATTTTATTTTATTTTATTTTATTTTATTTTATTTTATTTTATTTTATTTTATTTATTTGACAGAGAGAGACACAGCGAGAGAGGGAACACAAGCAGAGGGGAGAGGGAGAGGGAGAAGCAGGCTTCCCGCGGAGCAGGGAGCCCGATGTGGGACTCGATCCCAGGACCCTGGGATCATGACCTGAGCCGAAGGCAGACGCTTAATGACTGAGCCACCCAGGTGCCCCAAGTCCAGTGAGAAATATTGAACTTCTCTGAGCCTCAGTTTTCTACTCTGAAAAGCAGGGACAATAGTACTTAAATCATAGTTTTATTGGGAGGATGAAGGGAGATAATCCCTGTAAAGTACTAGCACAGTATCTGACATATGGTACGCTTTCATGAATCATAGTTTTCTTTCACTGCAGTTGACTTCACCTTGAAACATCCTTGTTAGTCTCTGAACACTTCCAGAGGGAATGCACTTAGTAATCTCTGAGAGAGTCCATTCCCTTCATGGAAGGCCTTGACTCTTTAAAAGCTCTTCCTTTTGTTAAACTGAACTCATTCTCCCTATGGTTTCCACTCTGAGGTCTTAGTCATTCTCCCTGGGGCAACTCAGAGCAGTCTCTTTATTCTTTTCCATGATAGTTCTTTATAGGTCTGAAGGACAGAGACCCGATTTCCTGCATCTTCTGATCCCAGGTCAAAGAGCCCATTTTTCCTACCATTTCTCACATGGCATGTTGTCAAGTCAAATAAGACTGTGAGGTTTTTAGCTATATAAATTGGGGTGATGGTACCTTCAAAGTGATGAGAAACACTGCATAAGGAGCAGGATGGGTGACTGTGACAAGTTCCTTTTATAATTTATTAATTCTTAAGTTCCCATTATGTGTCAGATATTTTCAAACCCATCATTTCACTGACTCCTCACCCCAACTAGGAAAGGTATAGGTCTTCTTATCTTTATTGTACAGGTGGCCAAACAGGCCAAAGAAAAGAAAACTTTCTAGAGATTGTTTAGTTAGTGAGTGTCTGAGCCACAACTGGAAGTTAAATTTTTCTTACTCCAAGGTTAATGTCATTCTTTTTTTTTTTTTTTTTTTTTTTCATTTTCCACAGTTGTTTGTATTTAAAATATAGGCTGGGCAATTAGGCCAAATTTGACACTAGAGAAAGAGACTAGAAGAGAATGGGTTATCTACTTGCTTTATACTAGTTATTCTTTCTCTGAAAGACCTCATTTAGAAAGGCTCTTTAAGGGAGAAAAAGTCCCTAGTGCCAGAGGAAAGGCAAGCAATACCACTACCAGGGAGCACAAGCTAGGCCATAAAACCTTCCTTTAGATGTCTTCTTGACCTGCTCTACTTGAATGCCTTTTGCAGAGAATGAAACATTTTTTGGAGCTATTTCTCAGAGCTGAAGCTGGAGGTTGAAGCAGAAACTATTTTTCTCTGCTTCCTTTCTGGAGACTAGCTCCATCTATCAGTTTTCCCATTGGATACGTGACAGGAGGGATGTGACTCAGCTTCACCTAGTCTGAAAATAGAAGGTATTTTTCTGTGTTCATAGGAAATATGAGGATGGCTATAGTTTGTCTTGGATTAGAATTAACTACATATGTTTTCTATGTTCCTCACAAGATTGATTATGATTTCTTAAAGGTAGAGACGATGTTTTATTCACCTCTGGTTTTTCCTCTTGCCACCATGTCCTAACAGAATGCCTAGCATAGAAGGCACTTAAGTATTTTTTGAGTGACCAGAAATCCATCCTTCCCTTCCCAGGGTGACTACAGTTATGATATCCCTTAAGCATCCTAAAAGATATCATGACATTTTCAAAAATAAAGCAATTGTCATGTAACATATATGGTGGAATCAAAGACTAAGATGTCTTCACTTACAGGAGATTGTTAGTCACCATGATAAGGTGAGTAAGCCAAAAGGACCACTTCCCTTCCATGGGCCACATCTTCCTGACCCAACCTACATTTTGGAATTTTTTCCTTTGAGCCAAGTTTAGGCAGTGTGAGTGTGGTGGTGGGCGGGGGGAGAAGCTACAACCTAATTACTCACCAAGTAATTAGTCTTAAACCTGGGTCCACCCTTTCTTTAATTATGGGAAATAGACAAGCCACTAAGCCCTGAATTTGGATACTTGGATTGTAGTCCTGTCTCTGCCACTGACCAACTATGTGACTTTGGGAAAATTTTATCCCTTCTCTGGGCCTTAGTCGCCCCATCTAGTTCATCAAGGAATGGGGTTAGTTTGCCTTGAAGAATCCTTTTGGGATTCCATAATATGTTTTCAATT